TTAAAATTGCAAGCTTTTTACACTCTATGTTGAGCCTGTCTCCCTTACAACACTGTGAGCACCAGAGGGAGAGTGGCTTGACGTTTCATTTCTGTGTTCTCAGAGCCTGGAACAAACCTGCGGGTAGGTGAATGCATGGACAGGTGGAGGAATTGGTGTGGTTGGATGAGTGGGTGGACAGGTGGGAAAGTGGGAGGGTCCCCCTCCCTTCATTAGTCCACAGAGACACTCCAACACTCTCGCCCCACCCCCAGCCAGGCCCCGCCCCCGGCCCCGCCTACTTCCTGTGATGGTGATCCTCCTGCCCTGGTAGTAGTCTCCTAGGGTCACGGCGTTACCCTGCTTGGTGGCCACCACCCTGACAGTGCGTACACTGTCCTGGCACTCCACATAAGGGTTGTAGCCAGGGTTGCCAGCCGCCAGCTGGGCATTTATCTGATTCTCCACGCTGGCGGGGGAGAAGGCATCGGCCACGCGGTCTCTGCAGAATGACTTGTATTTCCAGATCACGATGGGGGCTGAGATGGAGTTGCTCATCTGATAGGTGCAGGGCAGCGTCACTGGCTGGAACAGGATCACTACGTGGTAGGGGTCAGACACAGTCACCTGGATGGTGCTGGCAGGGGCTGGGGAAAAAAAGAGGAGGGTCAGCCCAGCACTTGGCACACTTGATCCCTTAAGACTGGTGAGGCAGATTGGATATGCCCATTTTATACACCCTTGGGGCCGAAAAGTGATAACTACATAGCCCCACGAGCCAGGTCCCTGGAATATTCTGTCCATCGCTCCCTACCAGAGACCCCACAAAATGCACAACCAAACGCAGATAGAACCCTTCGGCCCCCACCTAAGCCAGCATTCAATGTAGGGGAGCGCTGGCCAGCGGAGGATGGCTAGAGGTTCAAAAGTCCACCCCACAGACACCCGGGAGGAGGGCGGGGTGGGGGAGTACCCAATTCCACACCCACTCTAAGCACTGTTTCTGGAGCTCTTCTTTCAGGAAACGTCTTATCTAGTCCTGGAGAGCACTATCCCCGTTACCCCAACACTTAGAAATCACGGGTGTGCCCAAGATCCCAGTGCCTGGCCTTTCCGGTGATCGGGGGCCCTTGTCCTGTCCCACAAAGGGTCCCACTCTCCCTACAAGGAGTGAAACTCTGGATCCCCAGAGTTTCCCGAGTTTCACTTCCTGTTATCTCCAACAAAGGCGGAGGAGCGGGCTCTGGACGCGCCAATACAAGAAACTCCCTCCCTCTGGCACACGGGGTTCCCCCTCCCCGCAAAGCCAGGCGGGATCTGGTGGTCTCAAATCTGTGCCTTCGAACTAGCCATCACCCCCCCTCTTGGTTCCGGCTCCTCCAGGACCGATGAAAACCGCAGCCCTCCATTCACCTTCTGGAGTGCCCTCCCGCTGTCCCACAGTACCGAGGACCCGAACCCTTACCTGGACAGTAAATGATGAGAAAGAGCCACACGAAGGGGATAGTGGCCGGGCGGTAGCCAGGCGCCCCAGAACGCGCGCTGGGCGCCGGCGCCATCGCGGCCGTCTAGCCGCGACCGAGCCCGCGCGTCCCCTCCCAAGTATCCCGAGAGTAGGGGGCGCGGCGAGCACCGAGGCCGAGAAGGGTAATTGCTCTGTCCGGCCCTTAATCCAAGTCCATTTTCCCCACACTGAAGCAGTTCCAGCCTACAAAAAAAACTTGGACGAAACTCATGCCTTCCGCTCTCCCGGGACAACTGACCGGGTGCGCGGTGGCTCTCCGGGTCACCCCACCCCCTGCGCACTCCCAAGAATGGATCCGCCCAGGTACACAAGGGTGGGAGCCCTGGGGCTGGGCTTGGGGGTGGGCGGCGGAGGAGGGGCTTGCGGACCTCCCTCCCCGGAAGTGGGCTGACTCAGGTGCGCTCCTGCCCCCAGGGCCTGAACCAAGTGACCGCTTAGCCAGGAGGCGCCGCCTCCTAGGCGACCTGTGCAGCCACCTGCTGCTCTGGCCAAAGTTGATCGGATCGCGCTCCCTGAGGACAGACCCTCTGGGGGTGCTCCACCTGCCGAGAGGAGCCGGCCCTGCCGCGCACCTGTTTGCGGCCGGCCCACACCCCTGTCCCCGGCGCCGATGGACCCGCCTAGGTGCGCCCTGCGGGGAGGTGCCAGGCCCAGCCAGGTCCCGGCTGGCAGAGGCGTGTCGGTGACGCCGCCTGCCTTCCCACTCCCGTCTCGGTGGGGGAGGTGTCGCGGGCCTTCTGGGCTCGCCAGTTGGATGACTCAAGGGATCAATGAGGTCCCCCCTAGGAGGGATGCTCTGGCCCCGCAGGCCGATGCTCGAGGGGGACAGAATCTTTGGAAAAGTTGGAATCGGACTTCGTCAGTTTCCTTACTGAACCCTTTTCCTAACTTGGGTTCCTTTTCCACCTCCCCGCCCCTCGGGCATCCCTCACTCTAGGTCAGATTTCCGGAAGTTCTGATGCTTAAAGGCGCCGAGCCAAGACTGGAGACCGGGAAACTTGTTTCGGTTCAAAGGTTCCCAGGCCGACACCTGCACCCCGGACACGACCAGCTTGCTCTCGCCCTGCTCAGCGTTACACTGCTGCTCCCTGGTGGAGCCGAGGGGAAACGCAGCTGGGAGCCCACCTGTCATTTTCTTCTCTTGTAAAACTCGTGTTAAGTTCAGAGATCTCCCGTAGTCCCTCCTTGCTCCAAACCAAAACTCAAAATACCCATACTGGCCTAATTGTCCCTCCCCAACGTCACTTTACACTCTTCGCTTAGCCACGCTGGCCTGGCGGGTCCTGAATCAGACTTCACACATGACGTGTGTCACACTACCAGAATTCCGTTCCCGCTGCGGACATCTGATCCCATTTTCCTTAGGACTGCATTCAAAGGCAAAGGCTTCTCGTAGAATTTCACCTTGCTCGTGCGCTATCATGGTTTAAAAATAGGGGAACTCTCCACAGCCACCATTTTTATGGATTGTAATCCTAAACCCGTAATATATGCTATTTTGTGTTTTGTACACATCCACTATTAACAACACGCTATCAATACCGAGCCGGGCGTTGGTGGCGCATGCCTTCAATCCCAGCACTAGGGAGGCAGAGGCAGGTGGAACTCTGTGAGTTCGAGACCAAGCCTGGTCTACCGAGCAAGTTCCAGGACAGGCTCCAAAACAATACAGAGAAACCCTGTCTCGAAAAAAAAAAAAGAAAGAAAGAAAGAAAGAAAGAAAGAAAAACCATGTTATCGATACCTAGGACTTGGTTGTTCATCACCTTCAACACAGAAAAGGAAATCTGTGTTAGATTAGAACCCACCCTAATCACTGCATTTTCACTCAATATTTGTACATACCCTGTCTCCAAACGAAGACAGGATATGTGCTCCCACATGTAAGTCTGAAAGTGGGGTTTCAGCGTGTATCCCCGGGCAGGCTTACCCCCAGCTTCCCTCTCCTTTCTCCTCTTCGAATCATTTGCTGTCGGTCTGATATTTTACCAGTCAGATTTCCACTGTCTATTCCATCCCTGCCTGAAGGCAATGTTGCTTAGTAAGTATTCCAGCCCTCCATTTATTTCCCGGCCCTTCTGTAGTTACGTGGGGCCACGTGGTCCATTACAGTTAGCGGCATCCCTCCCCCGCCACGCCAACCAGCGTTGTTTTAGCTGCCATCTGTGGGGGCCCTGTGGAGGAGCACCCTCCACTAACCAGTTCCGGGCATGAATGTGTAAAAGGATGCGGTGACGAAATAAGACCCCAGGAGGATGGACTCTAGACTGTCACCACTAGAGGGCATCCCACTGACACCAAGGGGGCTGATTGGTGATGACTTAAGGCTTGGAGAGGAGACCCTGGTCATGGCTTCCCGATGGGCTCCAGAAACAGTAGAGACCAGTATCTCTCCGTCCCGTTCCCCATGTCAGACACTCATCTCTGGGAGAAACGGGGTGTTTGTTTAATCTTTTTTTTTTTTCTGGCTCACAGTTTCAAAGGTTTCTGGGCATGTTTGGCTGGCTGCATCATTTTGGAGCTTGCATTGCCAGGTTGGTGAGGTACAGAACGAAGTGTGCAGACGGTAAGCAGCCAGGGTCAATATCGACCCGAGGACTGCCCTACCTCCTCCAGCTGGGTCCTGTTTCCCAGTGACGGCCCAGCCTGACTCCATCTTAAGATTAAAAGCTGTCTTGTTCTTGCTTTCTGCAAAACTTGGATTTGACCAGGTCTAGACCGGTTCTGGAATTTGACATGTTCCACACCCTATTCCCTGGCTCCCACCCTGATAAGGTCTTCTGCCAAATAATTTTGAGATATTTCTCCACGTTCCAGTTCCAATGTAACCAAAAATCCTTGAAAAACCCTTGGCCTTGAATTTGGGGGGCTAATATAAACCCCACGTTCTCCTGTGTTCGATGCTAAACTCCACCTTTAGAGAGATAGCCCTGTCTGGTAGAAAATAAAGCTTGCATAATCTGACCAAAAGAATTTGGGTAATGGTCTCCCCTATCGTTCGGTGGGATGAACACTAAGGTTTTCATACCATCAACATCGGCACCACCATTGGGGACCCAGATGTGTGAAGTCTAGTGGGTCTTTGGATTCAAAGCACATCCCTATCTCCATGTACTGCGTGTATGAGGGTGAATAATTCTGTCTACTTCCTGGGGATATGTAAGCTATAACTTACACACAAATACATAATTCAGTTTTTATTTTATATTCATGTGTCTGCCTGTATGTACGTCTGTACGCCACACGTGTACCTGGTGCCCACAGAAGCCAGAAGAGGGCATCAGATCCTCTGGGGTTGGAATCGCAGACACGTGGGTACTAAGAATCAATCCCAGGTCCTCTGGAGAGCAGCCGGTGCTCTTAACTGCCGAACCATCTCTCCAGCCCAAGTTTTATGTATTTGATATGTATTTCTGAAAACTCGCTGGACTCCGAGGTTTACAGGGCTTACTTAAGTACCTGAGTTCTAGGGATGACATCACAGTACCTAAGAAGGTTCTGATGTTCCTCCTGTAGTCTTCAACCATGCTGGCCACTCTGTGGCTGGCTAGTCTTTCTCTTCCCTTGCTGTGGGCCCAGAAACTAATCAACTGTCCCTACAAGAACTTGTGCCGCTACGCCCTGCTCTCAGGCAATGACGTGATCCTCCAGTGTAACTACCCCAAAGCACTATGGTATTTCTCTTCAACTCTGGAGGACACACTGTCCCTGCTCAACTCCATGCCCAACGTGAAGATTCTGCCCGGGAGTAACCTGCAGTTACCCAACCCTCAGCCCTCCCAGACGGGGCTCTACCGCTGCCTGGATGGTCACAAGACCCGGGTGGTGGAATATGAGATTGACTTTCAGGATATAGCCCTGCTGCACGTCACACACAAAGACCTGGGCCAAACACCCATGGGAAACGAGACCATGAACTTAGGAGGCGAGGTAATCGTCTTTACCCGCTGGGATCCTTGGCAAGATTGCAACCGCTGTGAGAAGCCCGGCGAGCGCAAACGTCTAGGCTACTGCTACGTGGAGGAGCCTCTAGGGAAACCCACGCCCTGCTGGCTCTACATGCGAGAGAAGGTGACCCACAAACGCCTGCGGCCTGAGCTCCAGCTGCAAGCCTGCCGGGTGCCCTGTGACACCGTCATAGAAACCAACCAGCCGTTCTTCGTCTTTGACACTCGCCAGCTGGACAAAGCCACCGACCACGTGTGGCTCAGCTGTCCCTTGGCTTCCATCTACAGGTAACTGGAGCGGGGCCATCAAGCCGGTCTCTTGCCCCCCCCCCCCCCCCCCGTCAGTCCTAGTGTCCTGGGGCTCCCTCCGTAGATAAAAGCTCTTTCTCCACACCCAGAAGCCTTCACGGCCAGTGAGAGCCTAGAGTCACTGATTTGGTTAGATATTTCCACACCGGAAATCTCCTCTGCATTGGAATCCAGGCAGGAGATGCTGAGGAAGGCGGTGACTGAAAAAAGACCTCTTCCCTGCCCACACAGGCAACTTGGAGCCAGAGTCTCAGGCCCAGGCTCAGCCAATGTAAACATGGATGTGGGTCTTGTCTGCTGACTGGCCCCTGATGAGCATGGCTTGCCCCTCGAGCATGGCTTGCCCTGAGTCTTAGTGTAGGTGCCGAGAAAACGCTAAAGGGAGACCCCAGACTCGAACAGTACGCAGGAGCAAAGAGCGTTCGTTTACCAGCGTATGTGGGGTCCTTCACCTGTACCAAAATGGTCACAACCCCCAGAGGAGCGTGCAGGCTCCTTTTAAGCACAGCTAGGGGAATTTCAGGAGCGGTTAGATCATCCCAAACATAATTGGATTAGCAAGCAGCAGTTACATCAGTATGCTTTTAATTGGTTGAGGTTTTATCTTTGGACATACTTGGGTAAGTTTCAAGAGGGTTGCAGGAATTGTCCCTGAGACACTGTGGGGCTTACTCATGCCTTGTCCATGCTCTCTCCCTCGTCCCTAAATGTAACTGGTTGATAAATGTCCCTTTGTTGGGAGAGACACCTGTTTGCCCCTCTAAAAGAACAGAAACCTAAATTCAGTGGTGAAAATGTGAACGTTTAAACTCTCCATTAGATATTCCTCTTTCTTTTTTATTTATTTATTTTTTTCTTTTTACTTTTCTTTTCTTTTTTTTTTTTTTTTGGATTTTCGAGACAGGGTTTCTCTGTAGCTTTGGAGGCTGTCCTGGAACTCACTTTGTAGACCAGGCTGGCCTCGAACTCACAGAGATCCGCCTGCCTCTGCCTCCCGAGTACTGGGATTAAAGGTGTGCGCCACCAATGCCCGGCTTTTATTTTTTTGAGACAGGGTCTCACTATGTAGTTTTGGCTGGCCTGGAACTTGCTATAGACCAGGCTGGCCTCAAACTCACAGAGATCTCCTTGGTTTTGCCTCCTGAGAGCTGACATGAAAAACACACACCACCACACCTGGAACATGTTTGTTTCTTCCTTTGACAATATTTTTATTTGTTCTTTTGTTTTTGGAGACAGGGGTTCTCTGTGTAGCTTTGGAGCCTGTCCTGGCACTCATTCTGTAGACCAAGCTGGCCTCAAACTCACAGAGATCCTCTTGCCTCTGCCTCCTGAGTGCTGGAACTAAAAGTGTGCGCCACCACTGCCTGGCTCTCTGTCACTGTTTTATGTAAGTCGACAAAGGGTCATGACATAATGTAATTATTAGACAAAGACATTTTTTTTTTTTGGTTTTTCAAGACAGGGTTTCTCTGTAGCTTTGGAGGCTGTCCATCAACAGTTGTAGATATTGCATGTAAAAACATAGACTAAAACATAGACTTACCCGGACAGCCAGAGCTATGTAGTGAGACCCTAGTTCAAAAAAGTTAATATATAAATAAAAGTAAAAAACCAAACAAGTAAAACAAAACAAACAAACAAAACCCCAAAACCTAGACTTAGAGAATTTTCTGGAAGACAGTTCATCAGAGGTTCCCTCGTCCTTGGTTATTGCAGTTGTGGATGGAATTTAGGTTCCTTTTAATTTTTTTGTTTGTTTGTTTTAAATCCTTATAAGAACCACACAATTACTTTACTTTTTTAATGTAAGATTTATTTTTCATTTTATGTGTATGGGTGTTTTACATGCATGTATTTATGTGCACTCCATGTGTGCAGTGCTCAGGGAAGAGGGCAATGGATTGCCTGGAACTGGGCCGGGAATTGAACTTGGGTCCTCTGGAAGAGCAGCTAACGCTTTTAATGGCTCGGCTACCTCTGCAGTCCTTAAATCAGTGGTTCTCAATCTTCCTAGCACTTTGATCCTTTAACACAATTCCTCAGGTTGTGGCGACCCACCACCACCACCGGAAAATCATTTCTGTTACTGCTTCATAACTGTAGTTTTGCTGCTGAGTGGTGTCTCAGTTCCTAAGACCATCAGAAATACATGCTTTCCGATGGTCACGACCCGCATGTTGAGAACCACTGCCCTCGGTGCCGGTTCCTCTATAATGAAAATGTCGACTTCAGGCACGTGAGGTTCATTAAAAGGTCCCTGTCCACTTGGCTTCCGGGGTGGTCATCCGTTGTTAGGTCTTACTTGCTCCCAGTGGGCGCTCATTCTGCAGCTGGCAGTCCCCCCACCCCCTTCATTCTGCCAGAATCGTGGTTTGAGAATGAGAAATGTTGTGACTCTCGGCCCCCAGTGGGTGGCGCTGTTTGGGCATGTTACGGGGAGGGGCGGTCTTGCTGGAGGAAGTACATCACCCGGGGAAGGCTTTGGGAGTTTAAGGCCTGGCTCCACTTGTGCTCATTATCTGCTTTGGAACGGAGGTGGGGAGGTGTTGGTTTGAAACTCTGATCTCTCCGCTTCCTCCTCCCGCTGACATGCCTGTTGCTTGAAGTTATGCTTCCCCTCTGTTGTAATTAAAAACAAAAAAAAACAAAACAAAAAACGGTTCAAGAAGGAAAGACACCATTCTATTCGACAGAGTTCAAGCGGAGGGTTTCTCTGTATTGTTTTGGAGCCTGTCCTGGAACTTGCTCTGTAGACCAGGCTGGTCTCGAACTCACAGAGATCCACCTGCCTCTGCCTCCCAAGTGCTGGGATTAAAGGCGTGCGCCGCCAACACCTGGCTAAGCAGAAGGTTTTGTTTTGTTTTGTTTTTTAAATTAGGGGAAAAGGATCACAAAAAGGGGAAGGGGGGGACTGGCCTCTGGGGGCAGAGGCAGTGGGGAGAGGTGGGGGGACAGAGAGAGAGAGAGAGAGAGAGAGAGAGAGAGAGAGAGAGAGAGAGAGAGAGAGAGAGAGAGAGAGAGAGAGAGAGAGAGAGAGAGAGAGAGAGAGAGAGAGAGAGAGAGAGAGAGAGAGAGAGAGAGAGAGAGAGAGAGAGAGAGAGAGAGAGAGAGAGAGAGAGAGAGAGAGAGAGAGAGAGAGAGAGAGAGAGAGGAGAGAGGAGAGAGAGAGAGAGAGAGAGAGAGAGAGAGAGAGAGAGATGGGAGGTGGGCAGGACCCTTTTAAAAGGTGGTGCTCTTAGTGTCTGCAGCTGAGGGCGTATCCTGTCAGGACCCCAAGGACAGGCCAGTACAGATGCCTGAATGCTGACACCCTCTGGGACCATAAGCCCAAATTAACTCTTCCTTCTTTGAGTGGCCTTGGTCAAAGTGTTTTATCATAGCAACATAAAAGTACCCAATACAGCCGAGCGTTGGTGGCACAGGCCTTTAGTCCCAGCACTCGGGGGGCAGAGGCAGGAGGATCTCTGTGAGTTCGAGGCCAGCCTGGTCTACAGAGCGAGTTCCAGGACAGCCTCCAAAACACTACAGAGAAACACTACTCGAAAAACAAAACAAAAAGTATCCAACACAGTTTGATTCCGGGAGCCAAATCGACACTTGCTGCTGAGTTCCAGAGGGATATAGTCGATTGTGGTGGGAAGGCATGGTGGAAGGCAGGGAGGGTATGTTGGCAGGAGATGTGTTGTGGAGAGGCTCCGTGGGGGCTGGGTCTCCTCACCTCATACCTTGGAATGGGAAGCAGAGAGCAGCTGCCTGTAACATATTTGGAAGCACTTGCTAGTAACTGTTTCTGGACTTAGGTTTGTGTGTGTGTGTGTGTGTGTGTGTGTGTGTGTGTGCACATAAATTTTAAATTACTTACTGAGTTAATTTCTTGAGTTGTAAATATAAAACTGTTGTCTTTTTTCCTTTTTAAATGATTTAATTAACTTTATTTTATGTGCATTGGTATGAAGGTATCAAATCCCCTGGAGCTGGAGTTACAGACAGCTGTGAGCTGCCATGTGGGTGCTGGGAATTGAGCCTGGGTCCTTTAGAAGAGTTGCCAGTGCTCTCAAATGCTGAGCCATCTCTCCAGCCTGAAAACTTTTTTTAATTGTGGTAGTGTTGTTGAATTCCCCCCCCCCAATGAATTTACTCACTCCATCAAAGAATCAAGAAGTTTTGGTTTTAGCTTATTGTAGTTTGAATAAGAATGGTCCCCATAGGATCATAGATTTGAATGTTTGGTCACCAGGGAGTGGCACTATTTGAAAGGATTAGAAGGATTAGGAGGTGTGGCCTTGTTGGAGGAAGTGTGCCACTGGGGGGTGGGCTCTGAGGTTCTCAAAAGCTCACACCAAGCTCAGATTCTGTCACTTTTCCCACTGCCTGTGGATCCGGATGCAGAACTCTCAGCTACTTCTCCCATGCTCCCTGTCATGATGACAATGGACTAAACCTATGAAACTGTAAGCCAGCCCCATTAAATGTTCCTTTTTTGTAAGAGTTGCTATGGTCATAGTGACTCTTCACAGCAACAGAACACTCACTAAGACAGGTATCTATAGCTGTAACATGTTTTCCGTTTTTTATTTTGCTTGCTGTGGTTACCAAACTCAAGGCTTTGAGTGTTCTGGAGAATACTCTACCACTAAACTACATCATTCCCAGCTCTTGGTATTTTGAGACAAGGTTTCATTATGTAGCCTTAAGAGAGCTCTAGGTCAGCTAGGGCTACAGAATGAGACCCTGTCTCAAAAGCCAAAATAAGATCTTCAAAATGGCCCCATGGGTAAACGTGCTTGCTGCCAGATCCAACGACTCGAGTTTGGTCACTAGATCACACATGGCGGAGAAAGAGAAATGACCTGGACAAGTTGTCCTCTATCCAATACACAGACACCATGCTTTCTGCGTGCCTCTAATCATGCACGTTTGTGCAGGCACACCTACTGCTGTGTAACAGTCTCCTCCCAGATTGAAACATTCTATCC